TGTTCTCTGCAGAACCTGTGCTCTAACACCACGGTTCTGAGGGCCTCGACCCCCTGTAAGTCCTGCAGCCTCAGCTTTTTGTTCTCCGTGTGCCCCCCCGGCTTCAGGAAGACCCCCCGGTCCCCCAGACAGGACTGCACGTGAGGAACACTTTATATACAAATACAGGGCATTAGCATGTTGTTAGCATGTTGTTAGCATGTTGTGGTGAATGTAGCATGTTGTGGTGAAGGTAGCATGTTGTTAGCATGTTGTTAGCATGTTGTGGTGAAGGTAGCATGTTGTGGTGAAGGTAGCATGTTGTTAGCATGTTGTTAGCATGTTGTGGTGAAGTTAGCATCTTGTGTTCAGGTTCTCTGTAAAGACGGCCTCCATGACGCTGCCCATGCCAGGATGCTCCTCAGAGTGCTATAAGGAGGTGGATCTGAAGACCTGCTGCCCCGGCTTCTGGGGGCCCGACTGCCAGGGTGAGTTCAGGGACAGCAGGTACACGGAAATATATATATATATATATACCTTGTATTTCAGAGTACACAGTATCAGTAGAGGTAGCAGTATTTGTAGTATTTGTACTGGTGGTATCAGCTCAGCGCTCACATGCTCCGGCTCATCCTGCAGGACCAGGACTTCCTTCCTGTGGAGATCCTCCGTCAGCAGACTCAGACTGCTGATACACACACACACACACACACACACACACACACACACACACACACACACACACACACACACACACACACACACACACACACACACACACACACACACACACACACACACACACACACATCAGAAGTGTTCCTGGGATTGAACCCTTTGATTTGAGACACTTTATGTGCATGCATTCTTGGTGAATCTGAATCTAAGTATTAAAACTGTTGGATTGAGATTTAACTTGTATTTTTTTAATACAAGTTAAATATAAATGTGTGTGTAAATGTGTGTGTTCAGAGTGTCCGGAGGGGGCAGAGAGACCCTGCAGTCTGAGGGGAGTCTGCTCCGACGGGATGGGGGGCAACGGCACCTGCACCTGTCAGGTAAATACACCACAGTTATTACTTATCCATAATTAATACACCTATATTCACTTTGATGTACGCACCATGACACCAAGTCAAATTCCTCGTGTCAACCTACCTGGTGATAAACCTGATTCTGGTGTACGTGTGTGTGTGTTTGTGTGTGTGTGCGTGTGTGTGTGCGTGTGTGTGTGTGTGTGTGTGTGTGTGTGTGTGTGTGTGTGTAGCCGGGCTTTGCAGGGACAGCTTGTGAGGACTGCTCTACGAGACGCTTCGGGTCCACCTGCAGCTCAGGTAACCTCATACCTGTGGTTTAATATCGTCTTTAAATGATTCATTTACGATAAATGACCATCTGTGTGTGTGTGTGTGTGTGTGTGTGTGTGTTTGTGTTTGTGTGTGCAGTGTGTTCCTGTGTGCACGGTGTGTGTGCCTCTGGTCTGACAGGTGACGGTCGCTGCACCTGCTTCTCCGGATATAAAGGGCCCAGATGTGATCAAGGTCAGTTACCTGTGTATCTACCTGTATATCTACCTGTATATCTACCTGTATATCTACCTGTATATCTACCTGTATATCTACCTGTATATTACATTACATTACATTGCATTTAGCTGACGCTTTTATCCAAAGCGACTTACAATAAGTGCGTTCGTCCAACAAAATACAACTTGAAGAAAACAGAATCATAAAGTACATCAGGTTTCATAGAGCCAAAACATTTCAAGTGCTGCTCAACTGGCTTTAGATAAGCCAGCCCTTTATTAGTATATAAGTGCTTTGTTAATAGTTCTATCGCTGGAAGTGGAGTCGAAAGAGATGAGTTTTCAGTCTGGAAGGTGTGCAAGCTATCTGCTGTCCTGATGTCAATGGGGAGCTCATTCCACCATCTTGGAGCCAGGACAGCAAACCCACGTGTTTTCGCCGTTGGGAACTTGGGTCCCCCTCGCAGCGAGGGTGCAGCGAGTCGTTTGGCTGATGCAGAGCGTAGTGCACGCGCTGGGGTGTACAGGTATATCCAGTGCTTGAATTGGAATGAAAAAGGTGCCAGTACTCTAAAATCAGCAACTTTTTCAAGTCAATTTATATATACAGCCCACAAACAAGAATTTGGCTACTATAATGCTGGTGGGTTTGTCTCTTTACTACTGTATATTTTAGAAAGGTTCACTGTACTTAACATTTTTTATGATAGGCAGCGGATATGGCTAAAGCTCAGTAAGGTCAATATTAACTGAAAATATAGCAATCAAAGTCTAGATCTTCTGCTGAAGACACATGAAGCAGAGACCTTTCAGGTGAGAGCCCCTCTGGTGGTGTTCAACATTAATGACAAGGAAACAAAGCTCTGGTCAGAAGCATTTTTTATAAAAAGCTTTAACAAAATTAAGTATTTCTGTACATTTTGAATGCAATCTAACTTTCCAACTCAGAAAACGAAAAACGAAAAAGTGCCAAAAGTCTTCTCACATGGCTGAGCTGCTTTGCAATATACTTCACCACTGAAGAATACAAATATGTATAAAGTAAACTATGATGCAATCTAACTTTCCAACTCAGAAAAATGATAAGAGCATGAACAAAGAACATGTAAAAACAAATGCAAAATTTGCACAATCTAAAATGAGAAACTGTAACTGCAAGTAACAAAGTCTGAGCCATGGTAAAGAGTTACATTGAACACCAAGCTGATCAGATAACTCCCTGGTTGGTCTGAAGTCCTTCTATCTCCAGGATCTGTACAAATCGGCACATTATGCCAAAAGTCTTCTCACTGGGTGAGCTGCTTTGCAATATACTTCACATTGTTAGAAAAGGCTCCAGAAGGCCTTGGGGACATCAGTATCAGGGGCTGGAGCTGGACAGGCTCTTTCATCAGCACTTCTCCTTCCCTTTGCCAGCCAGGACCTCACATACTGTTCCGGATTGAACTGTCCTAGTGATGGTCCATTACATTTAATGAAAACCAGGCTGGACAGTCGGCTGACAGAGAGAGCATTCCTTTTTGCAGTAAGGATATCGTTCATGCAGCTGAATGCCCGCTCACACTCACTAGTGGAGACAGCGATGGTTCGGACTGCTTTCAGTAGAGGCTCCATGGCAGCAGGTGTACGGGATGCCCTGGTTTCCTTGTATTCGCGAAAGCCCTGAACAGTCTCTCTTCTGTCCACTTTCAGCACTTCGCACAAACGTAGCACCTCTACGTCCCCATACTGTACGTCTAACTCCTCTTCAGGCCAACTTCCAGGATGGATAACTTTCATGTCCTGGATTAGCTGATTGACCCGGGCCTCCCGGCCATGTAATGGGATTTCTCTTGTGCTGACATGAGAGGAGGTTGTGGAAGTCATTCTGTGTCTCAGATTCTCTACCATACTGCGGAAAAACTGACCTGCATGAATCTGTACAAGCCTGCCATTCTCACGCAGGGCAACACCCTTGAAGGACTTCTCAGCTAGAGCTGTATGAACTGTAGTCATGTGTGGGCCAGGCATGGTGACCATGGATTCAAAAACTCGTATTTCTCGAGTTAAGAGCCTATCTGCTGTAGGCAGTGTCATCTCTCTTTTTTGGAGTTGCCGAGAGAGGTCGCTGAGCTCTGTGAGCGCATCGTACATCAGTCCCAGATTGCTGACAAACGTTGCAGATGTGAGCACATCATCCAGGCCCTTGTACTTTGCTCTGTCTCTGGAATCCCTGCTCGTGTCGTTTGCAGCATTTGTGAAGTGATCATATAGCACTCGGTAGTTTTCCCAGACTGCTCTGACGCTCCTTTCACTTGAAGCCACCCAGCGGATGGACAAAACACGCCCTATCACCAGGAGACGCTGTCCGACTGCTTGCGCACACTGCGCTAACTGCCTCTGATTTTTGGGGGAGGCATGGAACAAGGAATAGAGTTTGTCAAAAAAGATCTGGAAATGATTGAGCCCTGAGACCTCCTTGACCACATCCCCAACTGCCAGCTCTAGACGATGATTGGAGCAGTGCCACACAAACAGGCTTGGGAATTTACTACACAACTGGGTAGCAACGCCTGTTCTCTTCCCTAGCATGACTGAAGCCCCATCACATGCAAAAGAAACGAAACACTGACCTAAAAAGTCCTCGTTAAAATCTCTTCCAAGACACTCCATTAACGCCTTTGTGATGTCATCAGCCGTTGTTCCATCCAACTCGATCAGCTCCCAAAAAAACGTTTCGGGCTCAGCATCAGCTAATGCTGAGCGTAGACACACAACAAGCACCGTTTTACCACTAATAGTGGTAGATTCATCGACCAAAACACAGAGTTTTCTTTGGTTTTCTGTAATGTCTTTTGCCATTTTTTTCTTCAGCTCATGAGCTATGTGGTCGATGATTTCGCCACAGGTTTTATTGGAGTGCAAAACCCTGCCCACGTTCAGCCCATTCAGTTTCTGTACATTCAAATCAATTGGCATGTCTGTGAATGGCCGGCTATGTTTGCCAATTTTATATGCCGTTCGAAAAAACTCTGATAGTGGTGTCTAATTCAGATTTATGCATAGACTGCACTTGATGTTGAATAGTTTCACATGAAGCAGATGTAAGGATGTCAGCAGCTTTTACATGGGCTTGTGATTCTTTATGTTCTTTGATTTTTTTTCTCAGGCTAGCTTGTTGTTTGCCCTTGTCAACACCGAAATGAGACACTGCACACTCACCCCATTCAGTTGACAGTTTCAGTCCTTGTCCAGTGTGTATTCCCAAAGATTTGACATCTCTGCATATCCGACATCCTAGCTTCTTATCTTTAAGAAGGAGCCATGCATTGGTCTTGCAAAAATATTGCACCTGGTCCGTTGTCCAGCAGTCAGGTGCATCGCTTTGCCCGGTGATGGTGGTGGCAGTTGCGCCAGCAGCAGCTAACGTTAGAGGCTCTGGAGGAGGCGGCGGAGCTAGTGCTAATGCTAATGCACTAGAACTTGGAGCAGGAGGATCAACCAAAGAAAGCTCCCCATCAGACACAATCTCCAACACAGGCACAGCATTCTCTGTATTTGAAGTTTCTTCCAGCGACAACCGCTGTCTTTTTGCACTTTTATTAATCCACTAGAAATGCTAATTTGTGACGTGACTTGCTTTCCTTCTCTCGGGGGCGTGCCTGCTCTGTTCTATCACTCTACATAGCCACCCACTGGGTGGGAGTTGCACTGCATAAACACAACACACGTGCATCTAGGTATGTAAATTGTAAAGCATTAAAACATGGTTTTACTAACAGTTTTCAGTATGTTGTTACTTCGGCATTATTATTATTATTATTTTGAAACGTGTATTACTATTAAATCACGGTCAAATAGGTTAATTTTGACATAGTCGTTTCCACCACAGTATGTACATGGAGAAGATAAGCCCCGCCCCCTCTCCAGCACGTTCTGTTTGAATGACAGGAGTAAACAGCTGACAGCCGCTGTGAAACTCCAGCGGTTATAGCGATGAGAATGTCCGTTCGGCACCTCATGACGCATCTACTGAGTACCGGGCGGCTGTATATATATATATGGATGTATAATAAGAACGGCGGGAGAGTGTTGAGTACTGGCACGGTGCATGAGTACCGGAGTACCGCCAGCATGCCGGTACTGAGCAAGAAGTGCCGGTACTCCATGGGTCAGAACCAGAAGTGCCGGTACTGCGTACCGGTGAGTACCGGCCCAATTCCAGCACTGGGTATATCTACCTGTATATCTACGTGTATATCTACGTGTATATCTACCTGTGTATCTACCTGTATATCTACCTGTGTATCTACCTGTAAATCTACCCGTATATCTACCCGTGTATCTACCCGTGTATCTACCCGTGTATCTACCCGTATATCTACCTGTATATCTACCTGTATATCTACCTGTATATCTACCTGTATATCTACCTGTGTATCTACCTGTGTATCTACCTGTATATCTACCTGTATATCTACCTGTATATCTACCTGTGTATCTACCTGTAAATCTACCTGTATATCTACCTGTATATCTACCTGTATATCTACGTGTATATCTACCTGTGTATCTACCTGTAAATCTACCTGTATATCTACCTGTATATCTACCTGTGTATCTACCTGTATATCTACCTGTGTTGCAGAGCTACCTGAGTGTGTGTCCCTGCGCTGTCCTCTGAACTCTCGCTGCATGGAGGAGGCTCTGACTGCTCGGCTGGTCTGTCAGTGTTTACCTGGATACCAGAAGTCCGGGGACACCTGTCTCTGTGAGTTCATTAGGAAACTAAATATAAACTATCATGAGCTGAACACAATAATAAGATAAGATGAGATGAACCTTTATTAATCCCTGTGTATTGAGAGTGTCTCCTGCTGTCTGTCCCCAGCCGTGAACCCCTGCCGGACGCAGGTGTGCGCCCTGCAGGCGTCCTGCGTCCCCACCGGGCCGGGCACGCACCTGTGCGCCTGTAACGAGGGCTTCAGTGGAGACGGGAGGGTCTGCATGGCTGTGGACCCCTGCCAGAGGAACCAGGGGGGGTGCAGCGCCGAGACCACGAGCTGCGTCTACGACGGCCCGGGGAAGGTCAGGGGACACACCTGTATCTGTTACCTGTGGGACGTTAGCTCTTACCTGTGGGACGTTAGCTCTTACCTGTGGGACGTTACCTGTAGGACGTTAGCTCTTACCTGTGGGACGTTATCTATAGGACGTTAGCTCTTACCTGTAGGACGTTACCTGTAGGACGTTACCTGTAGGACGTTAGCTCTTACCTGTCGGACGTTACCTATAGGACGTTAGCTCTTACCTGTAGGACGTTACCTGTAGGACGTTAGCTCTTACCTGTAGGACGTTACCTGTAGGACGTTACCTTTAGCACGTTAGCTCTTAACTGTGGGACGTTAGCTCTTACCTGTCGGACGTTACCTGTAGGACATTACCTGTAGGACCTTAGCTCTTACCTGTCGGACGTTACCTGTCGGACGTTAGCTCTTACCTGTCGGACGTTACCTGTAGGACGTTAGCTCTTACCTGTAGGACGTTACCTGTAGGACGTTAGCTCTTACCTGTCGGACGTTACCTGTAGGACGTTAGCTCTTACCTGTAGGACGTTACCTGTAGGACGTTACCTGTAGGACGTTACCTTTAGCACGTTAGCTCTTAACTGTGGGACGTTACCTGTAGGACGTTACCTGTAGGACGTTAGCTGTAGGACGTTAGCTGTAGGACGTTACCTGTAGGACGTTACCTGTAGGACGTTACCTGTAGGACGTTACCTTTAGGACGTTACCTTTAGCACGTTAGCTCTTACCTGTCGGACGTTACCTTTCGCACGTTAGCTCTTACCTGTCGGACGTTACCTGTAGAACGTTAGCTCTTACCTGTAGGACGTTACCTTTAGGACGTTAGCTCTTACCTTAGGGATGTTAGCTCTTACGTTAGGGACGTTAGCTCTTACATGTGGGACGTTAGCTCTTACCTGTGGGACGTTGCCTGTAGGATGTTACCTTTAGCACGTTAGCTCTTAACTGTGGGATGTTACCTGTAGGACGTTACGTTTAGCACGTTAGCTCTTAACTGTGGGACGTTACCTTTAGCACGTTAGCTCTTAACTGTGGGACGTTACCTGTAGGACGTTACGTTTAGCACGTTAGCTCTTAACTGTGGGACGTTACCTTTAGCACGTGAGCTCTTAACTGTGGGACGTTACCTTTAGCACGTGAGCTCTTAACTGTGGGACGTTACCTGTAGGACGTTAGCTCTTACCTGTAGGACGTTACCTTTAGGACGTTACCTTTAGCAGGTTAGCTCTTAACTGTGGGATGTTACCTGTAGGACGTTACGTTTAGCACGTTAGCTCTTAACTGTGGGACGTTACCTGTAGGACGTTACGTTTAGCACGTTAGCTCTTAACTGTGGGACGTTACCTTTAGCACGTGAGCTCTTAACTGTGGGACGTTACCTTTAGCACGTGAGCTCTTAACTGTGGGATGTTACCTGTAGGACGTTAGCTCTTACCTGTAGGACGTTAGCTGTAGGACGTTACCTTTAGGACGTTACCTTTAGCACGTTAGCTCTTACCTGTCGGACGTTACCTGTAGGACGTTAGCTCTTACCTGTAGGACGTTACCTTTAGCACGTTACCTCTTACCTGTCGGACGTTACCTGTAGGACGTTAGCTCTTACCTGTAGGACGTTACCTTTAGCACGTTAGCTCTTAGCTGTCGGACGTTACCTGTAGGACGTTAGCTCTTACCTGTAGGACGTTACCTTTAGCACGTTAGCTCTTAGCTGTCGGACGTTACCTGTAGGACGTTAGCTCTTACCTGTAGGACGTTACCTTTAGCACGTTAGCTCTTACCTTAGGGATGTTAGCTCTTACGTTAGGGACGTTAGCTCTTACTTGTAGGACGTTACCTGTAGGACGTTAACTCTTACCTGTGGGACATTACCTGTGGGACGTTAGCTCTTACCTGTAGGACGTTACCAATAGGACGTTAACTCTTACCTGTGGGATATTACCTGTAGGACGTTAGCTCTTACCTATAGGACGTTACCTGTAGGACGTTAACTCTTACCTGAAGGACGTTAGATCTTACCTGTGGGACGTTACCTGTAGGACGTTAACTCTTACCTGTAGGACGTTAGATCTTACCTGTAGGACGTTAGATCTTACCTGTGGGACGTTAGCTCTTACCTGTGGGACGTTAGCTCTTACCTGTGGGACTGTTAGATCTTACCTGTGGGACGTTAGCTCTTACCTGTGGGACGTTACCTGTAGGACGTTAACTCTTACCTGTAGGACGTTAGATCTTACCTGTAAGACGTTAAATCTTACCTGTGGGACGTTACCTGTAGGACGTTAACTCTTACCTGTAGGACGTTAGATCTTACCTGTAGGACATTAGATCTTACCTGTGGGACGTTAGCTCTTACCTGTGTCAGTTACCTGAGAGACATTACCCATTACGTAACAGGTAACGTCCGACAGATAGGACAATACCTGTAGGATCACCTATAATCACCTATTACATTGAGGACAATACCTATAAGACAATACCTGTGGGACATTACCTGTTGTCAGTGGGGCTGTATTTTAGAGTCTTTCCACTGTTACCTGTATATTTACCTGTATGTCTCAACCGTTGTATTTACCTGTACCTGCACTCACCTGTCCTCCTCAGTCTCACTGCGAGTGTCTCCCGGGGTTTGTCCTCCAAAGGGACGGCAGCTGCAGCCTGAAAGGACGCCTGCAGTCCCGCGTCCTGCCACCAGGAGGCGACCTGCAGAACCTCAGATGCGGGCCAGGTCCAGTCAGTACCTCACAGACATCATTCATTTATCTTTTTTAGTCTAACCTTTTATGCTCTTAACCTATTTTTATATTACCATATTTTATTCAATATGCTCCTTCCATCACTTTTTATTATTCTTTATTTTTATTTTCTCCTCATAGCATTGTGAGAGGACGTTGTTTTTTAAGTGTGCTATATAAATGAAATGTATTATTATTATTATTATTATTATATAACCCTTCATACCGTCGTGTTGTGATGCACAGGTGACCGTTCTTTAATGTCCTCTCACCTGTCCCCTCACCTGTCCTCTGACGAGTCCTCTGATGTGTCCTCTGACGAGTCCTCTAACATGTCCTCTGACCTGTCCTCTGACCTGTCCCCAGGTGCACCTGTAAGCAGGGGTTTGTGGGTAACGGGAAGGTGTGCTACGGGAACATCATGCAGCGTCTGAGCGACCTGAACACGGAGCCGCGGGGGCAGTGGAGGGGCCAGCTGAGCAGCGCCATATCCCTGCTGGGTAACTGCCTTAAACAAGTCACTAACAGGTTGCTAACAGGTCGGCTGTTATTTAGAAACAAGTCACTAACAGGTCGGCTGTTATTTAGAAACAAGTCGCTAACAGGTCAGCTATTATTCAGAATCAAGTCGCTAATAGGTCGCTAACAGGTCGGCTGTCATTCAGAAACAAGTCGCTAACAGGTCGCTAACAGGTCGGCTGTCATTTAGAAACAAGTCACTAACAGGTCGGCTGTCATTCAGAAACAAGTCGCTAACAGGTCGGCTGTCATTCAGAAACAAGTCGCTAACAGGTCGGCTGTCATTTAGAAACAAGTCGCTAACAGGTCGGCTGTCATTCAGAAACAAGTCGCTAACAGGTCGGCTGTCATTTAGAAACAAGTCGCTAACAGGTCGGCTGTCATTTAGAAACAAGTCGCTAACAGGTCGGCTGTCATTCAGAAACAAGTCGCTAACAGGTCGGCTGTCATTTAGAAACAAGTCGCTAACAGGTCGCTAACAGGTCGCTAACAGGTCGGCTGTCATTTAGAAACAAGTCGCTAACAGGTCGGCTGTCATTCAGAAACAAGTCGCTAACAGGTCGGCTGTCATTCAGAAACAAGTCGCTAACAGGTCGGCTGTCATTTAGAAACAAGTCGCTAACAGGTCGGCTGTCATTTTGAAACAAGTCGCTAACAGGTCGGCTGTCATTCAGAAACAAGTTGCTAACAGGTCGGCTGTCATTTAGAAACAAGTCGCTAACAGGTCGGCTGTCATTTAGAAACAAGTCGCTAACAGGTTGCTAACAGGTCGCTAACAGGTCGGCTGTCATTTAGAAACAAGTCGCTAACAGGTCGGCTGTCATTTAGAAACAGGTCGCTAACAGGTCGGCTGTCATTTAGAAACAAGTCGCTAACAGGTCGGCTGTCATTTAGAAACTAGTCGCTAACAGGTCGGCTGTCATTCAGAAACAAGTCGCTAACAGGTCGGCTGTCATTCAGAAACAAGTCGCTAACAGGTCGGCTGTCATTTAGAAACAGGTCGCTAACAGGTCGGCTGTCATTCAGAAACAAGTCGCTAACAGGTCGGCTATTATTCAGAAACAAGTCACTAACAGGTCGCTAACAGGTCGCTAACAGGTCGGCTGTCATTCAGAAACAAGTCACTAACAGGTCGCTAACAGGTCGGCTGTCATTCAGAAACAAGTCGCTAACAGGTCGGCTGTCATTCAGAAACAAGTCGCTAACAGGTCGGCTGTCATTTAGAAACAAGTCGCTAACAGGTCGGCTGTCATTTAGAAACAAGTCGCTAACAGGTCGGCTGTCATTCAGAAACAAGTCGCTAACAGGTCGGCTGTCATTTAGAAACAAGTCACTAACAGGTCGGCTGTCATTTAGAAACAAGTCGCTAACAGGTCGCTAACAGGTCGCTAACATGTCGGCTGTCATTTAGAAACAAGTCGCTAACAGGTCGGCTGTCATTCAGAAACAGAGTCGCTAACAGGTCGGCTGTCATTCAGAAACAAGTCGCTAACAGGTCGGCTGTCATTTAGAAACAAGTCGCTAACAGGTCGGCTGTCATTTAGAAACAAGTCGCTAACAGGTCGGCTGTCATTCAGAAACAAGTCGCTAACAGGTCGGCTGTCATTTAGAACAAGTCGCTAACAGGTCGGCTGTCATTCAGAAACAAGTCGCTAACAGGTCGGCTTGTCATTTAGAAACAAGTCGAGGTCGCTAACAGGTCGCTAACAGGTCGGCTGTCATTCAGAAACAAGTCGCTAACAGGTCGGCTGTCATTTAGAAACAAGTCGCTAACAGGTCGGCTGTCATTTTGAAACAAGTCGCTAACAGGTCGGCTGTCATTCAGAAACAAGTCGCTAACAGGTCGACTGTCATTTAGAAACAAGTCGCTAACAGGTCGGCTGTCATTTAGAAACAAGTCGCTAACAGGTCGCTAACAGGTCGCTAACAGGTCGGCTGTCATTTAGAAACAAGTCGCTAACAGGTCGACTGTAATTTAGAAACAGGTCGCTAACAGGTCCGCTGTCATTTAGAAACAAGTCGCTAACAGGTCGGCTGTCATTTAGAAACAAGTCGCTAACAGGTCGGCTGTCATTTAGAAACAGGTCGCTAACAGGTCGGCTGTCATTTAGAAACAGGTCGCTAACAGGTCGGCTGTCATTCAGAAACAAGTCGCTAACAGGTCGCTAACAGGTCGCTAACAGGTCGCTAACAGGTCGGCTGTCATTCAGAAACAAGTCGCTAACAGGTCGGCTATTATTCAGAAACAAGTCACTAACAGGTCGCTAACAGGTCGCTAACAGGTCGCTAACAGGTCGGCTGTCATTCAGAAACAAGTCACTAACAGGTCGCTAACAGGTCGCTAACAGGTCGGCTGTCATTCAGAAACAAGTCTCTAACAGGTCGGCTGTCATTCAGAAACAAGTCGCTAACAGGTCGGCTGTCATTTAGAAACAAGTCGCTAACAGGTCGGCTGTCATTTAGAAACAAGTCGCTAACAGGTCGGCTGTCATTTAGAAACAAGTCGCTAACAGGTCGGCTGGAATTCAGAAACAAGTCGCTAACAGGTCGGCTGTCATTCAGAAACAAGTCGCTAACAGGTCGGCTATTATTCAGAAACAAGTCGCACAAGTTAGAAATAGGTCAGCAACGAGTCACATATCAGCCATCGAAAAGTCGACAATCAGTCACAAACAAGTCAGATTTGAGTTGGAATGAAGAACTCAATGAGAACTGTTTGCTTTCAGGGTCTCTCTCCTGGTCCCTGCAGAACCTGGGTCCATTCACCCTGTTTGTCCCGATCAATAAAGGCTTCAGGGGGGTTTCGGTGAGATCCTCTTATCTTGAAAGTCTCTGTTATCCTTCCTGTGGGCTCAGACTTGAGTGAGGGTTTAACGACCCGGTCTCCCTCTCAGGTGCGGACTCTGACGGCGGACCGGTCTAAGGCTCAGTACCTGAGCAAGATGCACCTGGTGGCCGGAGTCCTGCCCTTCGACTCGCTGAAGAGAACCGATGTCTTCTACACCGTGACGGGAAAGATGGGGGAGATGGACACCAGCGAGGGGGTGAGACACACGGCTAACAAGTCGACATTTAGTCAGCAACAAGTCGGTACAAGTTGGTATGAGTCGGTATAAGTTGGGACAAAGTGGAGAACAAATCAGACATGAGTCGGCACTGAGGCGCATATTAATCAGCTATAAGTCACATTGGTTTAAGTTCTGAAGAAGTTGTCTTTCCTTCTTCCTCCTCCTCCTCCTCCTCCTCCTCCTCCTCCTCCTCCTCCTCCTCCTCCTCCTCCTCCTCCTCCTCCTCCTCCTCCTCCTCCTCCCCCCCCCCAGGACCTGCAGACGAAGATCCGTCTCCACGGCAGCAGGAAGAAGGCGGTGATCCTTCAGTCGGACGTGGTGGCGTCTAACGGGATGATCCACATCATCAACAAGCTGATGGACAGCGTGGCGCCGACTGTGGAGAGCAACCCTCAGGTGAGACCTGGACCCCCAGGTAAGACCTGGACCTCATATTGATCCACTGTTTCATTGAACTCAGACTGACTTCCTGTTTGTCTTCAACAGGAGAACCTGTTGAAGATCGTCTCTGACTACGGGAAGTTCGACATGTTCAAGTCCCTGTTAGAGGTTTGTAACTAGTTTATCTTGACTGGGTCTAGACTGGGGCAGGTCTGGGTCTTTATTTGGAAATAAACCTAGTCTTGACTGAATCTTGGTCTTGACTGAGTCCTGGTCTTGACTGAGTCTTGGTCTTGACAGAGTCTTGGTCTTGATTCGGTCTTGGTCTTGACTGAGTCCTGGTCTTGACTGAGTCCTGGTCTTGACTGAGTCTTGGTCTTGACTGAGTCCTGGTCTTGACTGAGTCTTGGTCTTGACTGAATCCTGGTCTTGACTGAGTCTTGGTCTTGATTCGGTCTTGTTCTTGACTGAATCCTGGTCTTGACTGAGTCTTGGTCTTGATTCGGTCTTGGTCTTGACTGAGTCTTGGTCTTGACTGAGTCCTGGTCTTGACTAGTTATTGGTCTTGACTGAGTCTTGGTCTTGACTGAGTCCTGGTCTTGACTAGTTATTGGTCTTGACTGAGTCTTGGTCTTGACTGAGTCCTGGTCTTGACTGAGTCTTGGTCTTGACTGAATCCTGGTCTTGACTGAGTCTTGGTCTTGATTCGGTCTTGGTCTTGACTGAATCCTGGTCTTGACTGAGTCTTGGTCTTGATTCGGTCTTGGTCTTGACTGAGTCTTGGTCTTGACTGAGTCTTGGTCTTGACTGAGTCCTGGTCTTGACTGAATCCTGGTCTTGACTAGTTATTGGTCTTGACTGAGTCCTGGTCTTGACTGAGTCTTGGTCTTGACTGAATCCTGGTCTTGACTGAGTCTTGGTCTTGATTCGGTCTTGGTCTTGACTGAGTCTTGGTCTTGACTGGGTCTTAAACTTGGTATCGACCTGATCTAGGTCTTTCTCTCAGTGTCTCTGGTCCTGGTTCTGGTCCTGCTGCTTTATTCTGATATCTGCTGAGATCAGAGAATGAGATAAAGAACTTCTTGTTGTTCTCGGTTCAGAAAGTGTCTCTGGCCTCGGTTCTGGACCTGCCCGGTCCGATGACCGTCTTCGCCCCGAGCAGCGCCGCCTTCAGCGCCATGCCGGAGGGTCAGCTGGACTGGCTGAGCAGCACAGAGGTGACACTCAGCTTCACAGACACACCTCACACCTCGTTGAAATGAAACTAAACATGCTTTCATTTTGTAGGGCCGGTGGAAGCTGCTGGAGCTGATGAGGAACCACATCGTCCCGTCCTCCGGCGTGAGTAAAGACATTCATTCACTACACATCCCATAATGCCCCAGCCCTCCTGATGTCAGTCTGGTTTACAGCTGGACGTGTTTAACGCCGTCTCCGGCCCGCGCCTCGCCTCGTTGGCCAGCCAGATCCTCACCATCAATGTGACAGACAACGTGAGTTCACCTCCCAGAAAACGTATTTTAACACGATGTATTTGACTAAATATCATTGTTGGCTGTAGTCACGGGGTGCAAACAGCACGCAGGCCAGATGTTATATAGATAATGTAGATTTTGTGGTCATATTTCATACTAATTACGTATAATTGATTGGTCCAGGGTCAGATTCTGGTGGACGGGGCCGCCGTGCTGGAGGCGGCGGTAGAGGGTAAGAACGGGCGTCTGTACGTC